AATGGGTACAAAAATTGTGGTATATTAACCTATATTGTACCACTCTGCAATGAAAAGGAACAAAATATTAATATACACAACATAGTCTTAAAAATGTGCTAAGTAGAAAGGCAAACACAAATATTACATACTGTATGGTCCCACTTATAGAAATTCTAGAAGAGGCAAAACATAGTGAAAAAAAAGCATAACAGTGGCTGCCTGGGATCAAGGTTTGGGAGACAGGATTACCTGCAAAGAAGCATAAGGAAACTTTAGGGTGACGGGACTTTTCTGTATCTTGCTTGTCGTGGAAGTTAGACAACTGTATACAATTACCAAACTTCATCAAACTTTACACTTAAAATAAGTAGATTTTATTGTATGTAAATTATACCTCAATTAAAAAAAGACAAAGTCAGTGAAGCTAAAAAGGAATTGAGTCTTCAGGTAAATTTCTGAAAACATAAAGATAATTAGTATTGGGTATAGGATCAGGTGAGTAGTTCAAAACAAAATCAATTACTACTCCAAATTAAAATTTCACCCTCAACTTCTTCAATATATAGTACTGGGTTCTTAGTTGTGCAGCTCTAACCTCAGAACTTAGAACTGTACACATATCTATGCAGTAAGTTCTAATTAATATCAAAAGCATAATTCTCTGAAAAAAATTTACATTACATGGGCATTTAAAATTGAGATTACTAAAAATATGTGGGTGCTAGCTCAAAATTGACCAAACTCTAAACTCTAGTGATTTTACCAAGAAAATGCTATTCTCGGCAGCCATATTGTCAACTTTTTCTAATGTCAGGTCTTCAAAGTAAGTTTATTTTTTCTATATGTACAGCAAAGTCATGTCACTTATAATTATTCTAAACTATTAAAGGACTTAGGGAAATTTTTAAAAAGGGAAGCTTACAGCAAAATCAAATATGAATTAAATCACTCAAATGATTTAGTTCACATATCTGTCTTTCAACAGTTTAGTTGGCCTTAAATTACAAGATCAAAAATGCTTCAACTAATGTACATTTATCAACAGTTAAAACTGAACACAACACACATCTATTATGTATCTCTAGGCATCTGTGCAAAGATAGACATGCAGGTTATTGACGCTATTAAAGAGTGAGACAGACCTTATTTAGTGATACGGAATAATTTCCAAGATACATTAATAAATGTACACCCCTGGAAGGATCCACAAGAAATGAGAAACTGTGCTTGCCTCTAGATGTAAGAATTGGAGCCTGGACATTAAGGATAGAAAGGAGACTTTTTCACTCTATATTTTTTGTAATTTCACCTTTTTTAACCACACGAAAGTCTTACCTTAAAAAGTACATAACATTTATGCAAATAACCACCAATTTTTCTCTCATTAAAAAAAAAAAAATCAGTTCCATAAGGGTAGGTGGGTTCCTTGAGAACAGAGGGCTGACTGTCCTTATTTAGGATTCCCCTTGCCCAGGTTTTTATATGTAAGTGCTCGACAAACATCCTATTTTCCTAAAAGAAGGTAAAGCTCGATTCTAAGCGTTTTATATATCTTTAGCAGCATTTGCAAAAAACAAATTTCAGAAAATGCTCAAAAATTTAAAAGTATGTCAAATTTGAATCTAATATTACAACATGGTATAATGTCATAAATACAAGACTGAAAAACCAAAATTTCATTTCCAGTCTTGAGAAAATCTCTTCACCTCTCTGGATTTGTTTTCTAGTCTATAAAATAATGATGGTAGTGCATGTGTGAGTAAGGTTAGACTACATATATTTTAGATGTTAAAGTTTGAACAGGTAAAACTCTCTACATTTTAAAAAAAATAATGGCTTTATTGTGATATAATTCACATACCACAGAATTTATCATTTATCTATTTAAATTGCACAATTCAATGGTTTTAGTATGTTCAGTTTTGCAACCATCACCACAATCAATTTTAGAACATTTTCATCATCCACCAGCTTCCTGAAAAACCCATCCCATCAGTGGTCATTCCCTTTTCCCTCCTCTCCTCCAATGCCCTTGGCAACCACGAGTCTACTTTCTGTTGCTATAGATTTGCCTAATTGGGATATTTCATATAAATTGAATCATACAATATGTGGTCTTTTGTGACTGGCCTCTGTCACTTAGCATTTAGCACTTAGTTTTCAAGGTTCATCATGTTGTAACATGTATCAGTACTTCATTTCTTTTTATTCCCAATGTCCCATTGTATTGATACACCGCATTTTGTTTATCCACTCATCAGTTGGTTGCATTTTGGGGCTATTATGAACAATGCTACTATGGAGCATTGTGTACAGGTTTTTGTGTGAATGTGTGTCTTCATTTCTCTCGGGTATGTACCTGGGAGTGGATTTGCTGGATCATATGGTAACTACGTTTAATTGTTTGAGGAACCACCAGAGTTTTTCCAAAGTGGCTGCCCCATTGTTTTACATTCCTACCAGCAGGTTATAAGGGTTCTAATTTCTCCACATTCTCACTAACATGTTATTGTCTTTTTGATTCTAGCCATCCTATTGGCTATAAAGTGGTATCTCGCTGTGGCTTTGATTTGCATTTTTCTGATGAGTAATGAAGTTAATTTTGTTCATGTGCTTATTGGCTATTTGTATACCTTCTTTGGAGACATGTCTATTCAGATACTTTACCCATTTTTGAGTGATTTGTCTTTTTATTACTGAGCTGTAAGAATTCTTTATACAACACATTCTAGATACAAGTCCTTTAACACATTAATGACTTGCAAATGTTTTCTCCCATTTTGAGTTGTCTCTTCATTTTCTTGGTGGAACATAAACTGAAACACAAAAGTTTTAGTTTTGATGTCTATACATTTTTTTCCTTTTGCCTGTGCTTTTGGCATCATATCTAAGAAACCTTTGCCTAATCCAAAGTCACAAAGATTTATGTCTATGTTTTCTTCTAAGAGTTTTATAGTTTTAGCTGACATTTAGGTCTTTCATCCATTTTGAGTTATTTTTTGTATATTGTATGAGGTAGGGTTCAAACTTCATTCTTTTGCACATGGATATCCAGTTGTACCAGTAGCATTTGCCGAAAGGCTATTGTTTCCCCATTGAATTGTCTTGGCACTCTGGTTGAAAAATCAGTCAAACATAAATGTGAGGTCATATTTCTGGACTCTCAATTCTATCCCATTCATCTATGTGTCTACCTTTATGATATTCAACACACTCTTCATTACCTCAGCTTTGTAAGTTTTGAAATCAAGATCAGAAACGGTAAGTGCTACGATTTCCTTTTTTCAAGAATTGTTTTGCCTATTCTGTGTCCCTTAAATTTCCATATGAATTTTAGAATCAGCTTGTCAGTTTCTGCAAAGAAGTCAGCTGGAACTGACAGGGATTGCGTTGAATCTGTAGATGATTTTGAAGAATATTGCCATCTTAATATCAAGTGTTCTGGTCCATGAACGTGAGATGTCTTTCCATTTATTTAAGTTTTCTTTCATTTTTCTTAACAATATCTTGTAGTTTCAAAGTGTAAGTTTTGCACTTTTTGTTAAATTTATTCCAAAGTATTTTATTCTTTCTGATGCTGTTGTAAACACAATTGTTTTCTTAATTTCATTTAGTATTATTCACTGCAGGTGTATAGAAATACAATTGACGTTTGTCTATTGATCTTGTATCCTGCAGCCTTGCTGAACTCAATCAGTTTTAATAGTTTTTACTGGATTCTTTAGAATTTTGTATACATACGATTTTGTCCTCTGCAAATAGAGACAATTTTACTTTTTCCTTTTCTATTTTTTTTCAAGATTTTATTTTTTTTCCTTTTTCTCCCCAAAGCCCCCCAGTACATAGTTGTATATTCTTCTTTGTGGGTCCTTCTAGTTGTGGCATGTGGGACGCTGCCTCAGCATGGTTTGATGAGCAGTGCCATGTCCACGCCCAGGATTTGAACTAACGAAACCCTGGGCTGCCTGCAGCAGAGCACGCGAACTTAACCACTCGGCCACAGGGCCAGCCTCTACTTTTTCCTTTGCAAACTCATTACCTCTAGGCTTTTTGAGTGCTAAATAAATTAATACACAACTTAATATTTGGAGGTATTGAAGTCAATACTGTAGAATTTTTTTTTTTTTTGCTGAGGAAGATTTACCATGAGCTAGCATCTGTTGTGAATCTTCCTCTTTTTGCTTAAGGAAGATTCACCCTGAGCTAACATCTGTGCCAGACTTCCTCTACTTTGTATGTGGGTCACTGCCAAAGCATGGCTGATGAGTGGTGTAGGTTTCCACCCAGGATCTGGGCCTGTGAACCTGGGCTGCTGAAGCGGAGCACAATGAACTTAACCACTATGCCACCAGGCTGGCCCCTGTAGATTCATTTCTAAACCAAGAGTAATGGAAAGAAAAAATTGCTATAGAAGAGAAAGAAAACAGAAAAACCAATGAATTGGGAGGCAATCCTACACCAATATTAATTAGCTGTGTGATCCTGAGAAAGTTTCTAACCCTCTTCTGGTTATACATTTTATTTTCCAAATCTTTTTCATTTGGCCCACCTATGAATTTCTGGGGATATATAAGTACTAGCTTTTCTCAGTTTATTCAGCCATTTAAAACTATGATCTTTGCTACATATATTGATCATCTTCTCTTTTTCCATTTTTGCCCCTCACAAAAGAGAATAAGGTTACCAAAACTGGAAGAGCACATTAAAAATATCTTCACATTGAGAGAAAACATAACTCTCAGGAAAGGCACAATAGAAGACATTGTGAGAATGAAGACAATTATAAAGAAGTATCCTTTTGGGAGCAAGCTGGAATATAAATAAATACTTCAGAGGCTTGTGGAAGAAATGAGTAGAAGTGAGCAAATGGATGAAGCATCTACTCTGTCTGGTACTGTACTAACATTTCAAAGCTATAACTAAAAAATAATCAATAATATACAAAATGGGAAAAGTATGTTTTAAAAATATACTTATCTCAAATTGTCACCACAAAGGATCATCTTTTAAAACCAAAGTTTTACGTATCATTTTTTATTACAATTTTGATTAAAATTTTAGGCAAAAGCGTCTCGTGACATATAGAACCACATTACATTTTTCTACCAAACATTAACTAGACACCTTGCCTCTGCCTCTGCCAATGTCGATTGTACTAGAATACTAAGTTATACTTAAATATTTTTAATTTCATTTCAAGTGTTTTGGAACCTCAGTTTTAATCTCTGACATAAAGGGAGAGGACTATCCGAACAAGCACCAGAGTCTTCTTTTTCCTTATGACACTGTGGAAAATTCAGAGACTCTTTCTCTGCCACTGGGAAACAGTTTTCTTCATTTCCAGCTGTTTTATAAGCCTGGACACACTGTTCAGTTTCTTTAATATGTATCTTAGAGTTAGTTAATTTGTTGACATCATTTTTCTTGAACTGGGCTGAGTTATGCTTCTGAGAATTGTGCTTCATTTTGTGAGTTGTATACTTAGCTTTCTCAAACACTGGGACATTTTCTTCATCAGAGGAATGTCTATCAAGGCAAACGCTTTTCTTCATCACAATTTTCTGAGTGGTTTGCACATCAACTTTTCTACTATGATCTAAGGCAGTATTTGGTAGTCCACCTCTAACACTGGAGGTCTTTACTACTGGGTTATTGATAGAATAAGGTATAGAAGTATTCACTTCATAGTTTTCTTGAAACAGCTGGTCTCCTTTTAGAACTTTAGAGTTTCTAGATTCATTTTCTAAGTGAATTCCTAGAATATCCTTTGAAAGATGTGACAGATAATCAGAACTACTGTTAGCAATACAAGCTTCTTTTACAGTAAGTAGGGATAAAGTTTTTAGGTCAACATCTGGTTGTATATTCTCCTGAGGATATGATGATTTTACTTGTATTCGTTCCTTTAAAGGCAAATCCTGAAGATGTAAATCAGTAATGCCAGAAAGTAGATGCTCTTCAGGATTAGACTTTCGAAGATCCCAATCCAACACTTTACTGATGTTTGTGGTGTTCTGCTCTGATTCACATGACAATTGTCCTGGGATATTTTTAAAGCTATCAGGGATGGCTGTTTCAAGCTCTGATTTCAAACCATGAGAGAAAGTGTTCCTTGGAATAGCTGGAGAATTACTAAAAGAAGTACTTTCCCAGTCAATGGTGCTCAAGTGTAGATCAGCAATTGCCGACATATTATGAGAAGAGGTACTGGGTTGACTAGATTCTGAAATTAGAGATTTACTGACAGCTTTAATTTGCTGCATAACCAAAGGTCTTGCAGAAGACATTAACTGTTGTTGTGTATTCAAACAGGGAGCATCTTCAGGTAAAAGCAAGCTATTCAATGATGCAGAAATAGATTTCTGGGATAATGTAGAATCAGGGGAAACTTCCAAACGTAACTTGGAACTCTGCTTAGAAAAGATTTCACATGTGGGTTTTAAAGTCATGTGTGAGTGAAAACTCATCATATCATCTGGTTCTGGCAAATTGTTTTCTTTAGGTTTAATTTTCATGCCTGAAAAGAAAAAAAATGACAATACAATTAAAATCTATTTTATTTTCCTTGAGTAAACAAATAACTAAAGAGTTCAGATTGGAACTCATCTATATAAGTAATTTTTGTCTTTTTTGTCTCAGGGCATTCCTGGAAACTGTGTTATAAAGCAAAATATTTTCTTTTGGAAACAATGTTATAATTGAATTGTTTTCTTCACTGAGTTCTGCGAAATAAAGAGTATTTACAATCCAAAATACATTACACGTACCAGTTGTTCAATAAGTGGTTAGTATAATTAGCATTATTAATAATTGCTTAAGTCAGCAAACACAATAGAATGGTTTACTCTTGGCTTTTCAGTTTTAAAAGAAAGTATGTCAAGACAAGCAAAAGCACAATCTTTACGCTTGATTTTATATAACTTTCAGCAAAATTTAGACAAGATAGATTCAAATAGAACAGGCGGCTCTTCTATAACATTTGTGTGTGGCATAAATAGCTGTCAAATGCAATACTTACTTTTTTGTTTCTTCCCTTTAATTTCTAATTTCTGTTTCTGGTAAATAGCAACAATCTCAGGGTAAGCTGCCTCAAACAATGATTTTTCTTCTATTGTTTGCAGAACCAATTCTCCATATTCATCTTCTATAGCATAATGTTCTAAAAGATTAAAGATATAGTAAAACGGCCTTAATTACAGATTTTAAAAATTCAATTTTTCCAGGTAACTAGGTTTACCAGGTAAACTAAGTCATCCACAAATGAAGAACTCATTGCAAATCTTGCTTTACAACATCTCTGTTCTAATCATCTGTTGATACTAGTGCAGTACTGATTTTATTCTGCCTAGCAAAAGCTGGAAGGAGATCCCCTTTAAATTCGAACTTTAAATTCTCTTGGTTCAGAGATGGTAGGAGCAGCTTAGAGCATAGAAAATTTGTTTAGATAAAGTTGACTTTAATTTAGTATAGTAAGTGTTAAAATTACAGATAAAGAACGGGAACAGACAGTTTCCTAAAACTTCTTCAACATTAACTTTCCTTAATGGTGGCTTCTGAAAAGAACAGAATTGAAGGGGTCATCAAAAATACTACATTTTCCCGATTGTTGTTTCAGAGGTTATCAATCTCTTGATTATAAGCCCAGGAATACTGGACTCACAAGCAGCTGATAAATGAAAATGAGAATGCTTACACGTAAATTTATAATAAGATATATAAATAGTAGACTAGATTCTTGTGTTTATCCTATATGAGCACAAAATTGACTTTGAGAAGTCAAATTATGATAAAAATATTAATTGAGTTTAAAGTAGAAACAATAGCAACAGGTGAACTTAAAGTGTTTCTAGTCTGACTAGCTTGGGGTACATTTTCTCCCTCAACGGATAGCTCCCACAAGGATAAGTGAAACTAGGTACCTAATCCTCAGTTCTAGACAGAGGAGATGCACCGCCAAACTGGGTTAATGCCATTTTCTTTCCTGGCGGAACTGTTCCTAAACTGTTTTCAAAATTCTTCAGCCCTCTATTTTCCTATTATTGCTTATCTCATTCTTTATAGTTTCATTCTTCAAAGTTGCCTACAGCTTAAACTTTCATTAAACAAATCTACTCTCTCTCATTCAGATATAATCACACAATCTAATTTAAAAGCCAATTGGAAATGAATTTGGGATTACTTTCCATTTTAAACGATCTGTGCTTTCCTTGCCTTCAGTTTTGGAACTAATTCAGAGTTCACTGTATTTCCGTTTGTAGCAAAAGAAGAGTAATTTGACAGCTATGAATTCCCATGAAAACTAAAAAGAGTGGAAGAAAGGGGAGGAAGAGAACCCCAGGTGCCATCAGCAGCCTAGATTTCTGTCTGAGACCCACCTATATAGTGAAATTCAATGACCAGACCATTTGTAGTAGCATTTTCTTGAGAAATATAAATCAAAACAATTTCCATATTATTTTCGTAACATTAATTACAAAAGAAATATCCATTTAAGGATCAAAATAAAGTTACTTAAACTTTTTCATATTTACTATTAGTCAAAGCCTATTTAAATAACAGGTAAACTACAGAATTAACCCTTGGTGCATTTGATAGGTTTCTTCTGTATTTCTTCTATGCATTCATATGTATATGATATTTGCTAAACATCTATGGGCAAATGTTATAAATTTTGCTTAAAGTGTACATACCAGGCTTTTCCCATTCTACTTCAAAGCAATGAACTCCATTTCTGACTCGGGTTTTAACAATTCTGAAAAATAAATTCATCTAATGAGGTCCAATTGCATGAGTTATTTGGAAATTTCTAATTTTTAGACTGAATAATTCAATTTTTATTGATTTTTATAATGCTCCGAAAATATATGGAATTAATGCATAGTTATTCCTTTGATTAGTTTATTCAAAAGATAATTTTATTGACAGGCGCATAAAGTTTATAATTGTTAGATCCCATCAGTGGACTGTACCTTTGATTATTTTTCAGTGTTTCTCTTTTCCATAATAATTTTTGTTTTTAAGTCTATTTCGTTTCTGTTAATTTTCCTACATCATTTTGGTAAATATTTGTCTTTTAAATCTCTTTATTTTCAAACTTTGTAGAGTTTTATTCTGCATATGCCCTATAAGCAGAATATTGCTGAATTTTGTTCACTCATCCAATATAATGTAATTTAATAGATGAATTAATCCACTTACACTTATTGTGATTACAGATGTAGTTGGACGCATTTGTACATCTTACTTTGCGTTTTCTGTTACCACACTTTTTCTTTGCTACTTCCCTTTCCTCCTTCCTGTATTCTTTTTGTCTGACAGTTTTACTTTCTTATTTATGTATTTAGAAGATAGAGATTGTATTTCTAAAGTTTTACTGGTTACCTTCAAAGGTTTAATGCATATTTTGGGTTTATTACATGCATAGTTTTAGTTTATTATCATCATCATATATTAATCATCAAGCATTATGCAGATATGCATATTTTTTCCAGTCAGTTTATTAAATGAGCTAAATATGTCTTATCAGTTTCTATGCCGACCATTGTTTCTTGTTATCCACATCTTCCCTCTGGGTTCATTTTCGTGTGTGTGGGGAAGATTGGCCCTGAGCTAACATCTGTTGCCAATCTTCTTCTTTTCGCTTGAGGAAGACTGTCACCGAGCTAACATCTGTACCAATCTTCCTCTATTTTGTGGGATGCCTCCACAGCATGGCTTGACAAGTGATGCTAGATCCATGCCTGGGATCCAAACCTGTGTACTCCAGGCTGCCGAAGCAGAGGGTGTGAACTTAACCACTATGCTACCAGGCTGGCCCCCTGGGTTCATTTTTCTTCTTGCTGCAGGACATCTTTTAACAGTGCTTTTAATGAGGGTCTGTGAGAGCTAAACTCTTAGTCTTCATGTCTGAAGATGCCTCACCAACTGTGAATAACGTTTTAATGATGTCTCTACGTTGCCAATTATTTTCACTCAAAGCTTTAAAATATTACTCCATCATCTCCTGGAATCTATTACTGTCATGAAAGATGTGTGCCACCAGATTGTCATTCCTTTGTAGTTTATCTTTTCTCTTTGATACTTCCTCCCAAACTTTTAATTTCGAAAATTTTCAAACTTTTAGAAAAGTTGCAAGAATAGTACAATGAATACTTACATATCCTTTACCAAGATTCATCAATTCTCAGTTTCAGTCTCTCCATTCACTTTACATTTTTGTTTCCTTTCTGGGCCATTGAAATAGTTATCCGATTAAGCCTGGCTATATCTTTTTATATTTATTTCTTTTAATAATTTATCAGTACTACATGTTTGAAGCAGAAAAGTTGTGTCAAAGCACAAACTCGCTATGTTGTCTTGACTGTAAGCCCTGAATAAACTTTTAATATTCCAGTAGATCATTCCTCCATCTTTATAAAACAAAGAGCTATATATCCCATTATTAAAGATATTAAGAAGAATATTTTAGATCATAAGATATTCAAATGGAAACAACAGACTTCTTCATACAATTCTTTATATTACCGAATTGGCTGTAATTGATTAGAGTTCCTTCTACCAAGCTTTCTTTCTATCATGTCATAGCGGGTTAAAAGCACCAACAATTTCTCACATGCATAGTGATTGGGCCACTCCATTTTTTCAAGAGTAAATCTCTGTAAATTTAATAAAAATAAAATAAGATTTCATTATCTCTTGGAGACAAACAGCACTTTCAAATGATCTTATTTTTTCCTCCGGAATTAACATTAGTTAAAGTAGTATCAATCAGAATATTCTCAGAAAGAACAATGAGCCTCCTAAGGAGACAATACTGCACAATGTTTAAGTGTGAGGGTTCTTGATTTGAATGCCAGTATCATATTTCCTAGATGTTGGGTCAATTACTTAACCTCTCTTAGCCTCAGGTTTCCCATCTGTAAAATAGAACCCAGCTCACGGATTATGAAGATAAAGTGAGATTACACGTAATGTGTTAAATATAATAGCAAATTTTAAATGTTCAATAACTGTTGGTTGCTATTATTACTGTTGTTAGTAGGGATAAGCAACAAGTAGTTATAATTTATTGACCCACTCTGTTTCCCCTAGCTACTATTTTAGGGGTTAATATAAATTATCTTTTTTAATTCTCATAGTGGCTTCATGAGATAAGGAATATTATTTCTATTCTGAGGATAACACATATCCAGTAAGTGACAGACTGTCCAAATTAAATTTAGGTTATTGATTACAAATTCCAATGCCCTTATAAACTATACTGCTTACCATAAAAATATATTTGATCCTGACATTCTCTTGTTATTAGCCCCTCTCCCACAACATGTCCCTGAATACAATCTGTACATGGTATTTAAGGTGTCTTCTAAGGAACAGCACAATTATGATTTGTCTTATGGTCTGCAAAGTATGGTTAGTGTGTGGCAGAGGAATGAAGATTAGAAATAAACGCTGGAAAACATAGGGGCAGTCAATAGGCATCTATTTTAAATCTCCTCTCAGACCAATCAGAGTGCCTATCCATTCTTATTGTCCTAGTATCCAACTTCATACCATAAAGTAAGAATTTATTTTCAGATACCTGAAACAACAGTAAATCAGGCCTTTGGTACCTGATTACCTTCACCAATTTATCCTTGTTCAAAAGGAATTCTTGAATAACCTAGCAAGAGAAAAGAAAATAGCAATTGAGACTTCAAACTTTAAAAAAGCCTCTGAAATAAACACATAGTTGAATCATTACTTATTACCTCAGGGAATGGGAATCCTTCACAACTGCAAGCTTTTCTGAAAATAAATTATATACACGTTATTAATACAATTAAGCAATTTTAGACAGACTCTGAAATCATCTCATCCAATCTCTTCTCATTTAATGAAAAACGTCCCTGTATAGTATCCCTGTCATTAAGCTTCTCTTTGAATCACTATTAGATTACTATCTTCTGAGACAGGCTGATTTTTGCACAGAATAAAGAAAAGGACTTTGTGAAACATTACTAATCTAGACACGGAGGAAGGTTATATGGAAATACTTCAACCACAGATGTATAAACAGGTGATGCCAGAAAAAAAAGAATTAAGAGAAAACCTTACTTCTTAATACCATTCTCTACTGCATTCAGCTGCCTGTCATGTTCTGTACGGTGCCACTCACAGGGACAACAGTATTCATAATCATGTGGTTCACAATATCGATCAGTTTTACATAATTTGCATCCATTATGCTCATGATCCTTAGGTGAACCTTTATGGAGATACAAAAAAGTATGATTTTCACTGCTTTTTAGAATTACCTTTTACATACATTTTTATGTTTTTGCCCTGACCCAAACTTTCAAAAATACTGCCCTAGCACAGTGCCTAGCATATAGAAGGGTTTCAATACACATAGGTCAAATAGAGTAATGAACACTACAGTAATTCTTAGGGTAAAGTAGATCTTGAGCTGTTACTACTACGTGACACTACTTTTTTTTGTTTTTGTAAATTACTCCTCTCTGAAGGTGTTAATTTGTAACTTGATATTATATATTTATAATAATCAACAAAGAAAAACTTTGTAGTGTATGTGGTAGCTACATGCAAGAAAAGTAGGATATTAGTAGTATTAAAAAAAGATTATTTAAGGGCCAGCCCGGTGGCGTAGTGGTTAAGTTTGTGGGCTCTGCTTCAGTGGCCCAGGTTCGTGGGTTTGCATCCTGCAGGCAGATCTACACACTGCTCAGCAAGCCATGCTGTGGTGGTGTCCCACACACAAAATAGAGGAAGACTGGCACAGATGTTAGCTCAGGGACAATCTTCCTCAAGCAAAAAGAGGAAGACTGGCAACAGATGTTAGCTCAGGGCCAAGCATCTTCACTAAAAAAGAAAAAAAAAGTTTATTTACTTAATAAATCATGAAATGTTTTCTTTAATGAGAATATTAAAAGAATATAGCAGTTAATTACCTCTGCTAGTGGCCAGCTCTCAGTTACCTATATAGCTATTTTTAAACTATGCTTGGAACATGAACAAATTATGACTGGGGGGACCTAGTTCCCTTTAAAAAGAAAACATGACCACCTTCAACATTGCTTTGAGAATACGGAAGAACATACATAATTGATTGATAAATTGATAAATGACCTAAAATTGTCTTTTATAAAGTATCAAAAACTAAGGAATGGCATCTTATCTATAAAAACATTTATTTCTTCCATGACTTCATCTATAACTTAACAATGTTAATAAAACATATTAAGACAAATAGATAAAGCAGAATTCCTTTTAAAAGATGAGCTAATGTGATCTGCTAATCTCTCTTGGGAGCAAAAGGCCTTTCTGACCCAGTACTTGTCAGTGACATCACTTTTTTTTTTACCAAGATTAACGAAGAGGATCCAAGCTCTTTTCAATAATAGTGAACGTGTCTTAGAAATTAGTTTTACATCACTATCTCCACACACAATAAAAATGCTCTATAGGACAATTAAGATCGTTTAAGTATATAAATATAAATCACTGACATAAAAACAAATGGTTTCAGTTCCATTCTCTCCCAAGAATCATCAGTATAATACTTTTTTTCTTAAAAGGAATTTCTATATTGAAAACATAATTTGAAGATCTAAATAATTTGGTAGCATAGTTTGAAATTGCATTTATCCTATATTTATCATTTACATGACATTTTTTCAGTAATAAACATTTACTGAGTGCCTACTATGTGTATGTGACACAACTCCTGACTCTGAGAATCCCCAATCTAGTGAGGAGGGCAGGTGTGTACAAAGTACTATAAGAACAGGGATGAAAACACAGGTATCAGACACTAATATTCTAGAGGTAGCACTCCCTATGTCTACTTACCTGGATGGGAACACACAGAGCAATGAGCCAGTTTTTTAATGACTTGTGGTTGTGGATTAGAGTAACCAGATTTTTCATTCCACTGATTAAACCTTTAAAAGAAGATAGTTTAAAAAAAATAAAATAACAAGGTCACCAAAATGACATGTTCTCAAATGTCCAGATGTATTGTTCCCTTCCACCTGCCTACTTATTGTCCCTTTGGTGGCAGATAAAGTTGCTGGCCGAGTTTGGGAAAACCCTCAAGCTATGTACCAAAATTTCTAAACGTGGCCCCAAGGACAGCAGAATTGCAACAGGGGAGAGCAAAAAAAAAAAAACAGAGTGAGAGAAAGAGGGGAAAGTGTGTGTATGTGTGTGTATTCGAATACTCATTCAGCCTTTCTTTTTTCTAAATCTTAAGTTAAGCAGCAATATGTGGGGAGAATGATTTGTATATATCTACTTTTGGTCTCTTTTGTGTATGCTAGAGTATAAAACAGAATCCTGTACATGAAAATTTCTCTGTATCAGAAATTAGGGTGAAGGGGAAAGTATAAAACTAAATAAAACCTTAAGCTTCTGGGGAAAAACTGTTTAAAAAATATAGATCATTTGAAATTATCATTTTTTAATCTCTATGCAAATAGTGAAAACATTACCTGTTTAATGAAAGATTTTAAGAAAAATGTATATTACTGCTAAGACTTCTACTAAATAGAAGTTAAATTTATTTTTGGCTAATGTTCTAGGTCAACATAAAACCACCAAGAGGGTAGTTAAGCATTTATTATAAAACATAAGCGTTCTGAATTGTGTTCCTCTACTTACAGAAATTAAACTTTTACTGAAAAGTTAAATTCTCTCTTTAGCTCATTGTGTAGTAAATGGTACTAAGAGTTATTATTTGGCTTTTGGAATTTCTAACTCATTTACTACAAAGACCAAGTACAAGCTTGGTAAAAATTAGGACTAATTACTGCTGGTAAAATAATAAATAGAACTTTAAAAATTAAAAACAACTAGGGGGAAAGTCAGTCTAAATTAATCAAAATTAGAATGACAGATAATTATAACAAGAAACGTAATTTCATTATTTTCACGTGTTATGTCAAACATTTAGTAAAATGTTGCCAAAAGCACATATTTGCTGGAAATATTTCAATAAGAATGATTTGTAGCTAGTACCACATTTGCTTGCTTTTCCTTCTTTATATTATTCTTCACAATTACCAAATGATTGCTTAACTCACTCCCAGGCCAAGTAGATCTTTTTTCCCTGCTTTGGCATAGGAATCAATGATATCAATAAGGGATTTATTGAAGTCTTAGATCTATTAACAGCTTTACAGCTGAAAGAGAAGCATTACAGGAAAGAGCACAGTTACTGGAAATTTTTTTCATGGTCAGTCCTTCTTGATTTCTACAAGTTAATGTTTCCTTTCATGCACTCACCATCTTAAACCTACCGGAGGCCAAGACTGTTTTAAGTCTGCTGGTGTTCCAGTTCCTTTCCTCCTTATTCACGCTACATCTTATCATCATTAATATTAACTTTTACAAACCATTGCTTTCAATCAAGTAAATTCACATGCTTTCAAAACTAAATAGAATTGTTTGTAAACATCAATATATTCTGTATCTTAATTGTTCTGAATCATCGAATCGACAGTTGAAATTAATTAGAATTACTATATCAGTAAATGTATGGCTATAGAACAAAAGGAAGTCAAGTAAAAATTTTGATCAAGTGTTACTTATTATTAAATATTTGCAACATAGGAATTTTATTTATAGAAAATAAATACAATATCAAAGTATTTTATATCAAAAATAATTTTAAGTATAAAATTATTTTAATTTTATGTTTATCTCTACTCAGTAGTAAAACAGTCTAAAATAGCCTGTGGCAGGCAAATGCCCAAACACATTTGACATCTTACTACTTGGGTTTGTAGTGACCGAATAATATTGAAAAAAATATAATATAGCTTAGGACATATATACTCATCCTTTCTTTGGAAAACTTCAGAATAAATAAAAATAAGTGATTTTAAGTGAAAATTTAGATTAGCTTAAAAATATAAAACTCTTTTTGGGAAAGCATAATACTTTTTGTAATATTCACTATTAAGTTCAACAAGAATCAAAGTCCAATGTCATAAGAAAAAGTAATTTTTAGTTACCTTTCAAGTAAACTTTGCCCTTTCAAAATCTGTATTAGTTTTAACGCTTGCTCTTTTCCAACTCCAGGAACTCCCTTTCAGAAAGGGGGAAAAGAAATTCAAATGTTAATCACTAAGGAATGGATAAAGTGTAGTGGGACCATTCAATGGAAGATTGTGCAGCTGAAAGAATGAAGTAACTCTATGTAATGATGGGAAAAGATGTACAGGATACATTGCTGTGTGTAAAATAAAAATTGAAGAATGGCATGTGGTATGATCTAGATTTGTAAGTTAAATAACAATTATATTGTTAATCTGTGCAAACAAAAAAGTCAGAAGGTGGGCCAGCCCGGTGGTGCAGTGGTTAAGTGCGCACGTTCCCACTTTGCCAGCCCCAGGTTCGCTGGTTCGGATCCCGGGTGCGGACATGGCACCACTTGGCAAGCCATGCTGTGATAGGTGTCCCATATATAAAGCAGAGGAAGATGGGCACAGATGTTAGCTCAGGGCCAGTCTTCCTCAGAAAATAGAGGAGGATTGGCAGCAGTTAGCTCAGGGCTAATCTTCCTAAGGAAAAAAAAAAATACTGATGTGATGATGTTTATTTTAGGAGAGAGGGCAAAAGAATTTTAGAGGGCTTTCACTTTCTATGTTAATTATTTTGATAATATTTTTAATTTGACCTAAATATACATTATATTTGTAATCAGGAAAAAGCATGTTTATTTAGTTACATGACCATTTAATATTTAGAGACCCAGACTCTAAGGAGAACAAAGGAGAGTTTCAAGTTAACTCTTGAAATTAATAACTTAAGAAAATTAAAACAAGTGTTAAGTTTCCAACACACAAAGCATACAAATAAATGTGTATTCACACGACAATTTCTGGTTTAAATTGAGTCTTCCAGTTCCTATAAAAGTTTATGAATATGTCCTTACAAGCAAGGCTGCTGTTTAGTCAATATGCACCAGGACAGGCATACCAGTTCTAAAATACTTCTAAACTGGTTAGTAAATAGCCACTGCCAAGCATCCTGAGTGCCTGCCAGCGAAGGGGTCTGCCCTCGAACCTGAATGCCCTTCGCAACCCACCTATACCCAGGATTCAGCTACTAAAGGCTAGCATATGGCACAACAGAGGGTAACCCAAAGCCTGTTCCATCTCTACAGCCTATGTCTTTGGCATACCAATTGCTAGATATTTGGATATCACCCTTCTTGTATTAGCATTTAGCTACATCTTAAATTTTCTGAAGGCAAATCATGTTAATACATAGTGTTAAAAATCTTTAAGTAGAACAATATAAATAGATAGCAGCTTTGGTTACAAAGGACACTAAAGGTCAAAACCCCTAAGGCTAATGCATAATGTAACACCACTGCAGCTAAAGTTGGTTTCTGTGAGTTCAAGTTTGCAAATCTTTTTTTACATTCAACATTGGGCTGTTTCTAGACTTTAATTATGATATAATTATATATGGGATAGACGAATCTTCTATTTCAGAATGAGAATGACAATATAGTAATAGTGTAGTTCCCCCTTATCCACGGGGGATGCATTCCAAGATCTCCAGTGGATGCTTGAAAGCATGGATAGTACCAAACTCTATATATAGCGTGTTTTTTTTCCCCATCCATCCATACATATGATAAAGTCTAATTTGTAAATTAGGCACAGTAAGAGATTAACAACAATAACTAATAATAAAATAGAATGATTACAACAATATACTGTAATAAAAGTTACCGTAGATGTTGGCAACCTCAGCATATGAGTTTTTTCTTGCTTGTGTTTGTGCAGTTTAGAACTTTCACCTTTTCACTAAAGAAAGCACTTTATGGCTTCTCTTTGGCATATCTGAATTGCCAGCATCACTACTCTTGCTCTTTGGGGCTATTACTAAGTAAAATAAGGGTTACTTGAACCCAAGCACTGTGAGACTGCAACAGCTAATCTGATAACCAAGACGGCTAGTAAGTGACTAATGGGGCAGATAGTGTACATGGCACGGATACGCTGGTCAAAAGGATGCTCCATGTCCCAGGCAGGATGCAGCAGGACGGCTGAGATTTTCTCATGCTACTCAAAATGAAACACAATTTAAAACTTATGAATTGTTTAGTTCTGGAATATTCCATTTAATATTTTCGAACTGTAGTTGACCATGCGTAACTGAAGCTATGGAAAGCAAAACCATGGATAAGGGAGGACTACTGTAAAATAATTATTTTTGTGTTATTTAAAAGTTTCTTTCCTCCTCCGTCCTTTCCTTACTAGTTAAAAAAAAAGTTGATTTCTCTCTTTGGTCATTGATGACATAAATTAGAAATTAGGGTTAATAATTTTACTATCCTGCTATTTTTTCCTCTCCTAAGCTCTGGTAAAAAAAATTTATGTCATCCTTCTTTAGACTTCTCTTAGGGAGAGATATATTTAAGGATGGGGTTTCTTCATAATTCTTAATTCATCACACCTATTATACTATTTTTTTTTACAGAGTACTATATTTTGCATCTTAGGATATAAATAAAAGGTTTTTATGAACAAAACTCAACATGATGCTAAGAGGCATGGGAGGATGAATGGCTTACCTCAATAATCATGTTGCCTAGCAACAGTAATAATAACACTGAGCATGTGCACAATTGGAAAGCTACAATGAAACTGAAAATCAAAAAACAAAACAGTGAAAGAAACTAACATTGGCGTGATACAGGAAAAGAGTAATTCCATATTTCCTTCAAAGGGTAGTCAAACTTGAATGTGAATCCCTTAATCTAGAGAAATGGTTTACTGAGATTCAAGCTGTGGTACTGGTTATTATTTCATTCTCATTTTATAACATTCAGTGTCAGAATGAGCGAGCTTTTTAATGCGACTTGAAATGCTAATTATTTGTTATTGGATAGTTTACTAGGCCTAAAATTACATTCTAAATTAGATTCTTAATCATATAACCATATTGCATTCATATTTATGTAGCATGTAAGGTATCAAAAAAGATACACTCTGAATAGTAAATAAATATGACAATTTCAGCATACCTTTGGAAGATAATCACAGCCAAGCAGTATTGCTAGTCCAACCAGAGCATCTCTATCCAAACCTAGTTTACTCTTGATAGATGACATTGTATAACAGTCAACATGTGGGTCCTAGAAGAAAGCATGGACATAGTTCAATCTTCAAAAAGTAAACATTTAGATATTAACCAACACTATAAAAAATAATTTGTCAAAGTTGTCTCTAAATGTTTAATTATTCCTAAAGGTTAAAAAGGGAAATTATCCTGATCACCAGAATCTACACAGAATCTAACACTTCAATATCTGGAAATAAACTCATAGTTTCAAAAACGGCTTAAAAAAATAAACTATAGCAGTTAATTTTTTCCTCTTTACTGTTTTTTGGTGTCTACAAAAGTAGATTTTCATCTTACAAAATTAAACACTGTAAAAATGTATATAATAGAAAGTAAACATTTCCTGTAATTGCATCATCTAAAGTTAACTATTATTTTTATTTATTTTTTAACGTTATTTTTCTGTTTTATTCCCCATTATCATTTCTTTTTTTTTTGATAAAGTTTTTTTTTTTATTGAATTAATGACAGGTTACAATCTTGTGAAATTTCAGTTGTACGTTAATGTTTGTCATTCGTGTTGGAGGTGCACCACTTCACCCTTTGTGCCCACCCCCCACCCCACCTTTCCCCTGGTATCCACTAAACTGTTCTTAGTTCACATTTTTAAATTCCTCATATGAGCGGAGTCATACACAGATTATCCTTCTCCAGCTGGCGTATTTCACTTAACATAATTCCCTCAAGGTCCATCCATGTTATTGCAAATGGAATGATTTTGTTCTGTTTTGCAGCTGAGTAGTATTCCGTTGTATATACGTACCACAGCTTCTTTATCCATTCATCTGTTGATGGGCACTTAGGTTGCTTCCATGTCTTGGCTATTGTAAATAATGCTGCAGTGAACATTGGGGTACATAGGACTTTTGGGATTGCTGACTTCAAGCTTTTTGGATAAATGCCCAGTAGTGGGATGGCTGGATGGTATGGCAGTTCTATTTTTAATTTTTTGAGGAATCTCCATACTGTTTTCCATAGTGGCTGCACCAGTTTGCATTCTCACCAGCAGAGTATGAGGGTTCCTTTTTCTCCACAACCTCTCCAACATTTGTTACTATTAGTTTTAGATAATTTTGTCATTCGAATGGGTGTAAGGTGATATCTTAGTGTAGTTTTGATCTGCATTTCCCTGATGATCAGCGATGATGAGCATCTTTTCATGTGCCTATTGGCCACCCATATATCTTCTTTGGAGAAATGTCTGTTCATGTCTCCAGCCCATTTTTTGATTGGGTTGTTTGATTTTTTGTTGTTGAGTTGTGAGAGTTCTTTATATATTATGGATATTAAGCCTGTGTCAGATATATGACTTGCAAATATTTTTTCCCAGTTAGTGGGTTGTTTTTTTGTTTCAATCCTGTTTTCATTTGCCTTGAAGAAGCTCTTTAGTCTGATGAAGTCCCATTTGTTTATTCTTTCTATTGTTTCCCTTCTCTGAGAAGGCATGGTGTCCAAAAAGATCCTTTTAATACTGATGTCAAAGAGTGTACTGCCTATGTTTTCTTCTAGAAGCTTTATGGTTTCAGGTCTCACCTTTAGGTCTTTGATCCATTTTGAGTTTATTTTGGTGAATGGTGAAAAAGAATGGTCAATTTTCATTCTTTTACATGTGGCTTTCCAGTTTTCCCAGCACCACTTGTTGAAAAGACTTTCTTTTCTCCATTGTATGCCCTCAGCTCCCTTGTCAAAGATAAGCTGTCCATAGATGTGTGGTTTTATTTCTGGGCTTTCAATTCTGTTCCACTGATCTGTGTACCTGTTTTTGTACCAGTACCATGCTGTTTTGATTACTGTAGCTTTGTAGTATGTTTTGAAGTCAGGGATTGTGATGCCTCCCGTTTTGTTCTTTTTCTCAGGATTGCTTTAGAAATTCGGGGTCTTTTGTTGCCCCATATGAATTTTAGGATTCTTTGCTCTAATTCTGTAAAGAATGTCATTGGGCTTCTGATTGGGATGGCATTGAATCTGTAGATTGCTTTAGGTAGAATGGACATTTTAACTATGCTTATTCTTCCAATCCATGTACATGGAATGTCTTTCCATCTCCTTATGTCGTCATCCAATTCTCTCAGAAAGGCCTTGTAATTTTCATTATATAGGTCCTTCACTTCCTTAGGTAAATTTACCCCAAGGTATTTTATTCTTTTTGTTGCGATTGTGAATGGTATTGTGTTCTTGAGTTCTTTTTCTGTTAGTTCATTATTAGAGTATAGAAATGCTACTGATTTATGCAAATTGATTTTGTACCCTGCAACTTTACTGTAGTTGTTGATTACTTCTAAGAGTTTTCCAATGGATTCTTTGGGGTTTTCTATATATAAGATCATGTCGTCTGCAAACAGCAAGAGTTTCACTTCTTCCCTCCCTATTTGGATTCCTTTTATTCCTTTTTCTTGCCTGATTGCTCTGGCCAGGACCTCCAGTACTATGTTAAATAAGAGTGGTGATAGAGGGCATCATTGTCTCGTTCCTGTTTTCAGGGGGATGGCGTTCAGTTTTTGCCCATTGAGTATGATGTTGGCTATGGGTTTGTCATATACGGCCTTTATTATGTTGAGGTAGTTTCCTTCTATGCCCATTTTGTTCAGAGTTTTTATCATAAATGGCTGTTGGATCTTGTCAAATGCCTTCTCTGCATCTATTGAGATGATCATGTGGTTTTTATTCCTCAGTTTGTTGATGTGGTGTATCACGTTGATTGATTTGCGGATGTTGAACCATCCCTGTGTCCCTGGTATGAATCCCACCTGATCATGATGTATGATCCTTTTGATGAATTGCTGAATTCTGGTTGCCAAAATTTTGTTTATAATTTTTGCATCTATGTTCATCAGTGATATTGGCCTGTAGTTTCTTTTTTCATGGCGTCCTGGTCAGGTTTTGGTATCAGCGTGATGTTGGCCTCATAGAATGTGTTAGGAAGTGTTCCATCTTCCCTAATTTTGTGGAATAGCTTGAAAAGGATACGTATTAAATCCTCTCTGAAAGTTTGGTAGAATTACCCAGGAAAGCCATCTGGTCCTGGGGTTTTATTCTTTGGGATGTTTTTGATTGCTGTTTCAATCTCTTTCCTTGTGATTGGTCTGTTCAAATTGTCTACCTCTTCTTGAGTGAGCTTTGGGAGATTGTAGGAGTCCAAGAATTTATCCATTTCCTCTAGGTTATCCTTTCTGTTGGCATATAGTTTTTTGTAGTATTCTCTTATAATCCATTGTATTTTTTTTTTAAGATTTTATTTTTTTTTTATTTTTTTCCTTTTTCTCCCCAAAGCCCCCCAGTACATAGTTGTATATTCTTTGTTGTGGGTCCTTCTAGTTGTGGCATGTGGGACGCTGCCTCAGCGTGGTTTGATGAGCAGTGCCATGTCCGCACCCAGGATTCGAACCAATGAAATACTGGGCCGCCTGCAGCAGAGCGCGCGAACTTAACCACTCGGCCACGGGGCCAGCCCAGATTTTTATCTTTTAAAGCTTTGAATATGTCACTCCATTCTCTCCTAGCTTGTAAGGTTTCTGTAGAGAAATCCACTGAAAGTCTGATAGGGGCTCCTTTGTAGGTTATTCTCTTGTTTTTTCTTACTTCCCTGAGTATTCTTTCTTTATCTTTCCTTCTTGCCAATTGTACTACTATGTGCCTTGCAGTAGGTCTTTTTACATTGACAAATCTAGGAGATCTGAAAGCTTCCTCTACACACATTTCTCTGTCAATCCCTAGATTTGGAAAGTTCTCTTCAATAATTTCGTTAAGCACACTTTCTGCTCCATTTTCCTTTTCCACGTTCTCAGGAATTCCTATGATCCTTAAGTTCTTACTCCTCATTGAATCCACTATCTTTTGGAGATTTTCCTCGTTTTTTTAAAATTCTTAGTTCTCTTTCTTCCTCTGTCTGGAGCCATTCATCCTGTCTATCTTCAATTATGTTAATTTGCTCTTCTATGGTGTCTACACCGGCATTCAGGGAATCCGTATTCTGTTTTATCTAGTCCATTGTGTTTTTCATCTCTAGTAATTCTGCTTGATTCTTCTTTATAATTTCAATCTCTTTTGTGAAGTAACTCCAGAACTCATTGGCTTGTTTCTCTATCTTTCTCTCTACCTCATTGAGTTTTTTGATTATAGCTGCTCTGAACTCATTAGCACTTAGTTTACCTAATTCCAAGTCCTCAGGACTTAATTCTATGTTTTTATTGTTTTCCTTCTTGTCTGGGGCTTTTAGAAATTGCTGGATGGTAAAGGAGCGGTTTTTTCGCATGGTGGTAGAATTTGGTTGCAGTTACAGCCTGTCGCCACTAAATGGGGGTCGAGAGCCACGTGTTCTGAGCTCTCCGCCTTCGGACAAGATGGCGGTGCCCAGTGCGCTTTGCCAGGTGGGAGGGGCTGCTATTCTCCAACGCTGATCTGGATTTGGATCAGTTCTGTTCTCTGGTCTCCCGAGGCCCTGGGTTTATGGGGTCCCTGTGCACGGAAGCTTTCCCCCATCAGTGGGTTTCCACTGAATCAGCGGCAGGAGTCCTGGATGATCCCCCGGTCATGCAGCCCCTCCCCCACTCCTTGCCGGACCGCGCAGCAGGGATCGCAGACTCTAGAGGAGGGAGCGACCTTCTCTCCTACCCGTTCCAGCGCCTCTGAGGCCGTGAGCAAAGTTTATGATCTCCGCCTTCTTGGTATTGTAGGTCTCTAACGTGTTGGCATTAGATTTATTCGAAATTTAGTTTTTCCAATCCTTTGCTGTAATTTGGAGGGGAGAGAATCCCGGGTCAGCTCACCCCGCCATTTTGCTCCGCCCCTTCCTTAAAGTTAACTATTATTAATGGCGAGGTGCATATTCTTCCAAAAAAATTTTCTTTGATACATATATACAAATATTTATTATTAACATATTTTTAAGGAAAAACAATATTATTTAAAAGTACTATTTTGCAACATTTTTTGCCTACTAATACATCTAGATATCTTTAATGTCAATAATACATACCGTTTTAATGACTGCTTACTACCACATTATATGGACTCTAAGGCAGTGTTCCTCAATGGGGATATTATTAGCATTTTTGGAGAGATAACACAATTGTCTAGCAAAAGATTTAGCTTTCCTGGCTTCAATCCACCGAATATCTATCTTCTCCCTTGCCCAACCCTGAATAGTTATAACCAAAATGTCCCCTGGGAGAACCTCTCTAGCTGAGAACCATGGCTGTATTTAACCATTCCCTATCAATGGGCATTTGGGTCATTTGCCAAAGTTTTGTTATTACTAACAATGCTGCAATTAATCTGCTTGCATATCTCTCCTTACATATTTGGAGGTGTTTTTGAGGCTATTAGAGGTATTCTTGAGGATAAAAAATGTTTAGGTCAAAGCAGTACATTTCATCTGCAATTTTGTAATATATTATTGAAACTGACTTCGAATTAAATCATGTAAAATAAGTCAAGCTCTTAGGAAAGTAATACACATTTCAAAGAGAATGAACTATGTGGCAATGATATTTTTAATAAGAGTAAATGTTTTATTTAGTAATTGCTATGTGTCAGGTACTATAGTAAGCATTTTACACATATTATTTCATTTGATCATTTAATAAAAACTTTAAAAAGGTATTTTGTGAAACAAATGCTGAAAAAGAGAAAGAAAACATACCTTGGTATTCATAGTGAAATTCCTGTAAACAGTCTGGGCCCCGTAAAGGAAAGCATCTCCATCATTGGTGAGGCAGCCGTCTACGTAGCCACTGGCATTGAGGTATGCACACATGGCTTCAGCTTCCCCAGCAGCTTGGACCCAGGGAATTCCTAAGCATTCCAGCATGTCAAGACACTGAAAAGAAAAAGTAGGTGCAAGAAATCTAAGGATATTATCATTGCTATGTTTTTCAGTGTTTAATTTATGTCTGTATTACAAATATTAATAGTAGCTATTTAGGTGTTTTATAATTTATGACAGTTAAGAAACTGGAAATTTGAACACTGAATACTTCATGGCATTAAGGAATGACTGCTAAACTTTTAGATGTGATAATCAAAACTGTATTGTGGGTATGTTTTTATGTATTTTTTAAGAGTCCTTATGTTTTAGAGAAAGGTACTGAAATATTGAGAGTGAAACAGTATTATGTCTGGGATTTGCTTCAAAATAATGTGGGAGTAGGGGAGTGGGTGGGAGGATAGATGAAACAAGATTAACCAAGAGTTGATAATTATTTAAAGTTGGTGATGGGTTACTTTTGTATTGATTTAAAATTTTCTGTAGTGAAAAGTTAAAAATTTTAATATTAATTAAAAAGTAATCCATATTCAATTTAAAAAATTACTTTAAAAAAGTAATGAATATTCCATTTTCATTGTTTTGTTCAATCTTATTATCTCAAGATTCTGGAAATATCTTTAAATAATTAATCACATTAAGATTTATATCTATAAAACTATAAAAATTCTTCTCACATGATGGTCAACCCAATATGAGCTCTTCCAAAGAAGATGCTATCATACAATTTTGGCTTGAGGCCTTGAGGGTCTCTCCTTTTCCTCATATCCCCTCCCCTCTACAATGAAACTCTCACATTGGGGGAAACCACATAGGGGTCAGTTGTTGGTGTGTGCTTAAGAAGCCAAATGTTGGTGCCGGATCTTTATATCAATTTGCTGATGTATAAACAATCTGCTGTGAGTTTTCTTTGGGTTGTGAATTTAACCCAGCTGAGTACTTATAGTTTAGCCTTAGAGCCTAATGCACTCTTTCTTGTTGTGTATCAGACTCTCATTCTATCACTGGGGAATACTGGGTATGGTGAGGAAAAGAAGCTATTTGCTTGTAGTTTCTAGAGACTGATAGAATAAATATCATCTCTTTTGCTTTAACTGATTAATTGCTTGAATGCTACATTACGTAAGAAAAACCTCTGCCAGATGTTGCCCAAAGTGGGCAAGGTTCAGAAAGACAAAGTATGTCAAAAAAGGGGGTACTTTTCAGGACTCTGGATGAATGACTTTAGAGAGACAGTTTTGTTACAGGTGTTGATTTATTGCAACACCATAGCTGCCTTTGACTTTGCCCCTAGATAAGAAGTATTCTTTCACAATAAACATAAAGAGTTTGAAAGTTATTTCAGATTCTAGTGTCATGTCATTCCAACTCTTTTAAAAAGCCAGCACAGAATTTGTGAAGAGGCTGGTTGCAATTTTCTCTACCCTAAGTCTCTGTCATGGGGGTTGGAGGTAGTATCGGAGGACTAGTTTGTGTTTTTCATACTTATACCTAAAAGATGGCAGTGGATTAAGAGGAAGTAGGGCCTAGTAAGTGACGGTACAGAAATATGAAAATGAATAATAGGTGAGCAACACTGAACTGACACAAAATGCCTAAAAACATCACAATTACTGTAATAAAGAAATAGGAATGGAGCAATTTTCTCAAGAAGAGATGGATATCTTTTTGCCTTATACTGGGCATTTAATGCCCTAAGTATGTGGACCATGGATATTTCCAGGAACTGATTATACAGGAAATAATTAAAATCCAGTATATATTTTCTTCAACTACTGATATCATGAAGGTGGAACAGTCACTAACTGAGAATTATTTTTTTTTAAATCACATAAAAGTAGAAAATAAACAAAATTTCAGGAGAAAAATATTAACTTACGTAATACCTTTTAAAATAAATGAAATTTTTAACCAAAATTAAAAATAAAAACAAGGATATGAATTCAAAGCAAATATGATAAAAAGTTTATATCCTTAGTATATAAAGAACTTGAACAAAAGAAAAATTAAAACCTCAAGAGATAAGTGGGGAAAAGACATGTTGGCCATTACCCACAGAGGGACTAAAACTACATTAAATATTTAAGCTTACCATTAAGAGACCAATACATATTAAATATGTATTATGTGTATTTATATTTATTATATAACAAAGAAAAAGCTTTGTTTTTGTATACTAAACAGTTTAAAGATAAATCTAATATCCAATGTTCTTGTGGGGGCAGTGAAATTGTTTATCTCATCTCTGTACTGGTAGAAAGTAACTGGCAAGAGCTATAAAATCATTCTGAAACTTTGGGCTATCAATCCCACTTTGGGTAATTTCATCTCAAAATTCCAAATCACAAGGAAAAGCTATACACACAAAAAATGTTCACCAAAATTTCATGTACAATAGGGAAGAAAACAGAGAAAAAGCAAACAACATATCCAGTCATGGGGAACAATTTCATAGATTTATATGTTGTACAACCATTACGTTATGATTTTGAATAGAATGTAGCAACAGAGAAATATGGGTATGATACATTAAGTTAAAAGTCCAAGATAAAAGTTATTTGTGCATTATTAAGCCAACATTTAAGAAATATATACATTTGAAAAGAGACAATAGTAGCTTTCTATTGTTTTAATTAGTTTATTTTATTATAGAGATTTCTTTTTCTTAACTTTTATAAATAATATAAGATTTTATAAGTAATTCACAAATATATTAAAATTTAATAATAAGTACTTTTTAAAACTACAAAGCCCTAAGGGAAGGCAGATATGAACTATCATTAATCCTGAACGAGTAAAGTGTGAATTAAGATCTCTATTCTGGGAATTAAGTGCTGAAGATGTCATAAAAGGTAACATGTATCCAGTCCCTACTATGTAGTTGTTGCTTTAGATATATTTTCTCTAATTTTCACCACAGCCCGCTAAAGTATTACTATCCTCATTTCACAGAGTAGGAAATGAGGCAGATATAGGTTAGAAATCTTGCCCAACGTCTCAGAGTTTCTAGATGCCACAGCTAGGACTTAAACTCAGGTTAGTTTCACTCCAAAACATAAATTCTCTTCTCTATCCACACTAGCCTTCTATTTACAGTTAGGTTAATAAGTATTAAAGCTATGGAACAACAAGGGAGAAACGAAAGTCTCTTTAATAAATGGTATTGGAAAAACTGGACAGCCAAGCAAAAGAATGAAAGTAGACCATTATCTTAGACCATGCACAAAAATTAACTCAAAATGGATTAAAGACTTCAATGTAAGATCTGAAGCCATAAACTCCTAGAAGAAAATAAATGCAGTACACTCTTTGACATCGGTCTTAGCAGCCTCTTTTCGAATACCATGTCTACTCAGGCAAGGGAAACAAAAGAAAAAATAAGTAAATGGGACTACATCAAACTAAAAAGCTTCTGCACAGCAAAGGAAACCATCAACAAAACGAAAAGACAAATCACTAACTGGGAGAAAATATGTGCAAATCATATACCCAGCAAGGGGTTAATTTCCAAAATATACAAAGAACTCATACAACTTAACAACAAAAAAATGAACAACCCGATCAAAAAATGGGCAGAGGATATGAACAGACATTTTTCCAAGGAAGATATACAAATGGCCAACAGGCACAAGAAAAGATGTTCAACATCACTAATTATTAGGGAAATGCAAATCAAAACTACAATGAGATATCACCTCACTTCTGTCAGAATGGCTATAATTAATAAGACAAGAAATAACAAGTGTTGCAGAGGATGTGGAGAAAAGGGAACCCTCACACACTCCTGATGGGAATGCACACTGGTCCAGCCACTATGGAAAACACTATGGAGATTTCTCAAAAAACTAAAAATAGAAATACCATACAATCCAGCTATTCCACTACTGGGTATTTACCCAAAGAACATGAAATCAACAATTCAAAAAGATTTATGCACCCCTATGTTCACTGCGGAGTTATTCACAATAGCCAAGACGTGGAAGCAACTCAAGTGCTCATCAATGGATGAACGGATAAAGAAGATGTGGTATATATACACAACGAAATACTACTGAGCCATAAAAATGACAAAATTGTGCCATTTTCAACAACATAGATGGATCTTGAGGGTATTATACTAAGCAAAACAAGTCAGGCAGAGAAAGACAAACACTGCATGATTTCACTCACATGTGGAAGATAAACAAAACACATAGATAATGAGAACAGATTAGTAGTTACTAGAGGAACAAGGGGTGGGGGAGGGCAAAAGGGGTAAAGGGGCACATGTGTATGGTGATAGACAAAAACTAGACTTTTGGTGGTGAACACAATGCAACCTATACAGAAACTGAAATACAGTAATGCACACCTTAAATTTACATGTTAAAAACCAATATCACCTCAATAAAATAAAAGTAAATTAACAAAAAGATAGTAAACAACAAACTTTATCACAGTAAAATATACTCTCTAATTCACATCAGATCAGAATGCTCACCTCTCTTAAGACTGATTTAAAATGTGATCTTCCTGTTTTCTGAGACCATGTTTTTCCAGAAGGCCCGTACCGAATCTGATTCCTCTTGCTTATGACATCAGCTTTCAGCTTTGGGGGTTCCCCTTCCATAACGAACACCAGTTTTACATCCATTAGCGTTAAATATGAGATACGAAAAAATAAGTTCCTGAAATATAAAAATTAGTAATATATTAATCATCATATATTGATAGCAAAAATCAACACAGCAGTATGACATACTGGCAAGAAAATTAAACTAGTATCAAAAATGCAATCGCATTTTATTTATTAAGATTTAAGTGGACTAAGAAACCACGGAATGTTTTCAAGAAGGGAGATTTATGATTATTTTAATTTCTATGTGGAAAATGGTTTGGAGGAGGAGGCCAAGAGTGGAGGGAGGGAAACTAGTGAAGATATCACTTCAGCAGGACAGATGAGAGATGGTGTTGGCACACACTGAGCCAGTGCCTCTGGACATTGAGAGAAGTTTGTGAACACAAAATATATTTTGGAAGTAGAACTGGCAAGACTTCCTGATGGATTGGATGTAGGGAGGGATAAAACAGGCAGCGAATGGCTCCCAAATTTCTGCCTTTTCCAATGAAGCATCCTAATGGATATGTTAGTAGGCAGCAAGGTATGTGAGTCTGGACCTCAAAGGGCAAGAGGTACAAGTTTGTGAGTCATCAATAAAGATGGCAGATCTAGACATGTTAATGCATTTTACAATCTCAAAATGTAAAATAACAAAAGAAATAAAGTGGAAACAAAATCAAGATATCAACTGCTTACGTAATCAAACATTTATATTCTAATAACTCGTACTATACCTGAGGTGGGGCTTCAAGACTGTTCCAATCATTTTTTTGACTGTCTGTGCTTCACATACCCAGAGGCTCAGATCAACTGCAATGGTTTTCCCAGCAAGACCGTGCAAGTGGATGTGCTGCTTAACAGGCTCCAGAATTTGCCACAAGTCATTCACTCCCATTCTGGTGATTAACTGCGCTTATTTGAAACACACTTTCCAAAAAATTTTAAAACACACAGAAGCTCAGAACAGGAATACAAACAATATATTATAAGCTAGTTTAGGATAATTCATAAATAGAAGATTCTCCTGATTTCTTTCATTTGTCAGCTTTTCTAAATGAACCAAGAACACCTGAAACATTAAAAATGGTGGTAACTGACCTACCGGCTACAAAAACACTAATGCAACTAATGGATTAAGTTATCTTCAGATTGTAGCATGCTAAATTTGTCCCTAAAATCCACTGATGTCACCAAACATGGGTTTCTCTATAGTACTGAAAAATAAAGTTATTTTTAAAGTTAATGAAACTCAAATGTTAATGGTCTCGTTTCTCCTCATTCTTTCTTCTTCTAAGTTCTCCTTAGCAGTGGCCAAGAATAAAACTTTTCACATGGTTACATTAATATTGCATGAAATTTGGAAAGGGAAAACATTACAAAAAAAAAAATATATGGTGGTAATTGACTTTGTTCCAGCTAATAATAAGAGCTAACAAATGCAGAGGTGGGTAGAAAACCCAGGGATGCTGTAAGTCTTGTTTGTCTTCTTCAGAATTCACTTCTTGATTTACGTACTAAAGAGAATAGGACTAGTCTTCTTTTATAATCAGAAAAAACAACAAAAGCAAGGAAGCATGCAGATAAGCAAACTAAAGAAAAAAACAAGGGGTTGACGAAGGCAAACTTTGATGGAGACAGAAAATGGAGAGTTGGAAGAATATGGAATTATCTTTTTAAAAGAGCACTGACTTCTTAAATTACAAGGTCACACATGTTTGTTGTGGAAAAATAAAAAATCTTTTCAAGGAAAAAAACTTTAAAAATCACCTATAGTCCTACCATCCAAAGAAAACTAATGTTCAATTCTTTTCTATGTACATGACATTTTAAAAACGAAATTGGCTTAAACTCTGCGATTGTATCCTGCTTTGGTATTTTCTGTAGGGCAGTTTTTCTTTATTAAACATATATATCTGTTTTTCTTTTCCTTTGTTATTATTTGACGAAAATATTGTGTTGTGTTTGCAATTAAGATTCAGTTTGACTATACAAATATAATCCAGATTATCATCCTCTAAATAATGACCTTTAATTCATTCCAAAAACACAAGATAGGATACAAAAAATATGAAGTCATAAGCTATCACCATGATGCAAAACCAATCTAAATAAAAAGTACTGTATTGTCTGTTTCCCTTAACAGAGCCCACACTAAAAGTGATTTCCTCAAATTGTACATGGCTACAAAAAAAATAAATGCTAGAAGTGTTGCTGTCATGTTCTTTGTGCTTTTCTGAATCAATTTTATACTGCAGCCAATGCCACCATAAGTATCATTTTGTGCATTCATTTTTTATGAAGAAGTGCACAAATATTTGCATATATGTCACTTTACAAAGAAAAACAGATTTAAATACAAAGACGAAAGCACCATTAACGTTAACAGTGGCTCAGTGCTAATACTGTCTACTTCACATCAAGAAGTCTCACGGGTTGAATGTGACATTGTGGCACAGATTCAGATTTAAGGTTTTATCTCTTTGTTAATGTGAAAAGTTGTAGTTAATTCTGGAAAAAGAGTGGGGACGCATATCTTTTCTAAGGCATTATTATGAAGGCAAACAAGACTTTTAAAGTATCAACCATCAGAACATTTAAAATTCAGAAATAGAAAGTTTAAGGAGGAAGTTCTTGTTGATAGTTTTACTTTCCTTTTATTTGTGACTCACCCTGCATACTGGAAAGGGCAGGGATAGAAGGAATCACAAAATTCCCCTCTGGAGGAATATTATCAGAACTGATCTCATCTCATTTAAATGTGACCCTGACTCTAGCTGTCAAAATTTAAATGCAGGTATCTTCTTATTTAGCAATTTCTTCTAGGAATTTATTTTAAGATATACTGTTAGGTGTACGCAGATTTACATATAAGGATAATCACTGTAGCATTGTTTATAATAGTAAGACACTGGGAACCAAATATGGATCAACAAAGGACATATCTTTAAGAAATTACAGTACGTTCAAACAATGGAATAAATGATGCAGCAAATAAAAATGGGACAAATCTATATGTATTGACAAAAAAGTCTCCAAGTTTTAAAATGAAAACAGGTACAAAATAGTTTATACATTAGGGATGACTGAAGCTGAGGAATGAGAAGAATTAGTCTTCAAAGTATATTCCTCTGTGTTGTTTATTATTTTTTAAAATAATCATAGGCATGTCTTACTTTTCAAATTTAAAATAAGTTTAAAAAATGTGGTCTTATACATAAAGGTTTGGGAAAATAAACTAGAAATCTTTAGATGGTTTACTTTTTGCCTAAACAGTAAGTAACCAAATATGGATATACTTCATGGGTCAGATTAAAAAGCAATGTTCTACAAGGTTACAAGTACCTGAATATTAAATGACTTCAGTATGGCTTTTTAAGGAATGAGAGATTCATATTTTCTGGTTTTCTTCAGAATGCCTAGGAACTAGTCATGTGGTCACAGGCAAGGTGCATCTTTTCTCTGGCTCTTCCAGCCCTAAAGCTCAACCCTTCCTACCACATCTCCAATGCTTCATTACGTAAATTGACAAAACATATAAATGAGTAGTAGTGAATGATGACCGTTACATGGTGCAGGGTTGTTATGATAGCACAAATAAGCACACATTTACGTACAGGACTGTGATATAAACTGTGTTCCTTCTGAGGGCTGTAGGGAAAAAAAAATTAGAGAAACACGATGAGGTAGACTTTACAAATTGCAGTTCTCTAAATATTTCAAGCACATTAGGATCATTTTGTAAAGAATCTTTTTGTCTTTTTCCTGAGGAAGATTAGCCCTGAGCTAACATCTGTGCCAGTCTTCCGTTATTTTCTATGTGGGATGCTGCCACAGCATGACTGATGAGTGGTGTGGGTCCACACCCAGGATGTGAACCCATAAACCCAGGCTGCCTAAGCGGGGCGCACTGAACCTAACTACTATGCCGTGGGGTCAGCCCACAAGAATCATTTTGTAAAAACGTTATTGGAATATATTATTCACTGGGGTACCCATGCCTAGAAAAAAATAAACTCATAACTGATTCTATTAATATATTAAAATTTCCACAGATTGGATCCCTTAAGCAAGATGAAGAGGGCTTTTAACTAAGCCCATAAATAATATCTTTAATAGAACATGATCGTTCCACTTAAAACTTACTTATTCATTTTATTTTAGTTTCTTTGTCAGAAATAAGCCTGGTTTAAAGAAAGAGAATCAGCAGTCATGTTACAGAACAACTAGCACTGGTAGTTGAACGGTGACCAGCAATGTCTCCCTAGCCCATCTATTTGGGCTCTTCCTTTATTATAATACGAGCAAAGTCTACAAAGCTGTAACAGTGGCTACTTAAACACAATTGGTATGAACAACATAGGCAAAAAGAAAAAAAAGTTTGTAACAGAAATCTGTTAGTCCCCAGAAAGCAAAATTTGAGTTACAGGGGCCAGCCCCGTGGCCAAGTGGTTAAAGTTCTGCGGACTCGGCTTTGGCGGCCCAGGGTTCACGGGTTTGGATTCTGGGTGCAGACCTACTCCACTCATCAGCCATACTGTGGAGGCATCCCACATATAAAGTAGAGAAAGACTGGCACAGATGTTAGCTCAGGGCAAACCTTCCTCAAATACACACACAAAAATTGAGTTACTGTCTCTGAGCTAGTGTTCTCTTCTCCACTTTTCCTTAGTTAAGTGACATTTTCTAGAAAAATGTCTCTCATTGCCAATCCTTCTGGTCACCATATTTTTTAACCTATCTCAAAGCCTTTTAAACCACTTTGGTGCCTTAACCTACATATATCATATATCTAATGAAATGGATTTGAAAAAGGTTAGTCTCTCTTGTGCTCCCCAAGCACACTCCTATAAAGCAGTAATGCCCTGCTATGTTTCTTTGAAAGAAATGCTATCATGAAATATACTTTTTTTCCACTTTTTTCTCTGAAGGATAGGAATCAAGGGGACATTTTTATAGGAGCTAGTCTTTCTCTATGACACGCCCCAATGAATCTTTTTTTCTTAGTAACTTACCATTAATTCATTTCTATTAGACCTTCTTGAATTACTGCCAAGACTTTATATAGCCTTCGCAACTTTTAACTAAAAATAATTATAACTATGCCAAGCAAGAAGATTCAAAGGATTAGGGGTTGGCATGGGAATTGGAAAGTGAGCAGAAAGACTTATAGAAAGAATACTTTTAGAGTCAGTTAGAAAGACAGACTACACTGGAGAGGATATTATTGCTGAGTTCCCTTTGAAGACTTTATAATGAAGGAATTTTTCTTCACTTCCCTCTAATTTATCCCACATCATCTGACAACTCCTCCAAGCTTTTGACTGGAATATCTAATCCCCTACTTTATCTTCACATGGATGCATGATACACACCTAACTCTTGATTCCACCACCTCTTCTCAAAACTGTTCTACCCCTAGTCTTTCCCAAATACCCGGTGGCTTAAGCCATATACCTAGCAGTCAATCTTGACTCTTTCTCTTTACTTTGCTCTCCAACAGCAACTTAATCAGCAAGTCCTCTATCTCCAAAATATCTCCTAAATCCCCATTTCTAACAGTAGGCCCCTAGCGTTGCCTGTACACGGTGGTAATGGTCTCCCCATTGGCTGCCCTGCTTCCACTTTGTACTACCCTCCACTTCTACACAATCAGTCTCCCAGAGGGAGCCAGAGAGATCTTGCTTAAAAACCTAAAACACTAAAATTATCATTTCTCTGGCAATGGATAGTGAATTTCCTTAAAGGTGACATAATTCCTGTTTGACACAAATTAATTTACTTCTTCATTTATGGTGCTACCTTATAAGCAGTGACAAAATGCAAAGAATATTAATGTAAAATTACATATTCTAAGTGTAATACATTATTTTAAAATATTCTTTTATGATTATCTTCAGTAGATCTACAACCTAAGTTCTTTGAGTGTAAAAATGCATGTTCCTTTCAGAAATCACTCATGAAAGCAGAATATTAAAAGAATAGCTCAACAGTTCTGAAAGGGTACAGTTTTGTGAACCATGTATTTTATGAAAAATGACACCATAACGTTTTAAAAATGCAGTTAATCCAAAATATCTATTTCCATGATCCATTGTTTTCCATTTTTTGTCACTTTCTTTGCACCTCCAAAGTGACATTAAGTAGCAATGGTAAGACTGCAAAATCACATAAAGTTCCAAAAAGGGACAGAATGCAACAGCATTTAAGATGTTCAAGGACAACTACACTCAAAGATAGAACAGATGGTTCTTGCCTGAGGTCATGATCAACCTGATGAGGTTACTTGAAAATAGCTCAGCATCACGTAAAATTTAAAAATACTACACATATCAAACTCAATCAAAACTATGTATTCTGTCTTGCTTATTTTAACATGGTGAAATTTGAAATTTTCTGTGGTGTGGGATTTGGTGAGTCTCTACTCCTATCTTTTCTAATGTAATAATTTTATTGATGCCAATCTGATCATTCAATCAATGTATATTATATATAAAAAGAAGAGTCTCCTAATATACTCACAATTCTTAAGAATTAGTGTTTCACAAGAATACTTATGTGAATCAACAAAGTCAGGACAATCCATAGCAAATAACTTTATAACTTACTAGTGGCTTCAATTTATTTATTTTAGTGAAAGTGCACTGAACTTGGGATAGAAAGCCTAGGATTTCAGTCTTGGATATACCACTGACTAGCTCTATGACCTTGGGAAGACATTTAACCTATCTACAAACTGAGAAGTATTACCAGATGAATTACAAGATTCTGATATCCTTTGAATCTCATCACCAATTTTGGTAGCTTGGTATTAAAGAAAAAATCACTCTCTTTCAGATATTATTGCTTGGTAGAAAGAACACGAATTTCTAGTTTAAAGAAAAGGCTTAAGAATCTATTGCAGGTTAAAACAAAACAAAAAAATCCTTTGATGTAACCATATGGTGTCCATAAATCAATTTATGCTCCTAAAACTTCCTTAAAAGCTACTAAGCTTTTATTGGTTAATTATAAAACTGAATGAGGTGAGAAAAGCACAGAACCTTGCTAATTCCACTAATGAATCAAACTTAAAGAACATAAAAAGCAGTCAGTGGTTTGATTTACGCAAAAACACACATTTTATTAAACCAACAGTTTTCCTGTTTTAAGCAAAAACATTAGAATTGTCTTTTAACAGTGAAGTGGGAAATACTTTAAATTTCCCAATTCCCATTTAGATAACTATATTTTCACATAAAGATTGGTAAATGGTGTAAAGTTTCTTTCAGTACAGGATTGTATTGTGCGGGATTTACCACATAATTTCACTAACTAATGCTCTTTTTTATTATTTCTTCAGTTTTATTTTCATATGAATTTAGCTTAAATTTGGAGCATAATATAACCCAGGTGTAACTTACTTGTTATCAATGAATATTTATTAAACGCTTATTTTCCAGGAACTCTTCTAGGGGCTGGAGATGCCATAATGAAAGATCGAGCCCTCCATTTAAGGATCTTGGTGAGATTAGAGATAAAAGGGGAATTAGAACAATGTGACAAGCACAGGCCCAGAGGTAAGGTGAATGAACTATGAGTAGATAGAAAGAGAGGTACCTTGCCTAGTGCAGGGCATCAAGGAAGGCTTCCTAAAGGAAGTGACATCTAAGCAGAGACCTCTGAACTGCCTTTCCCATTGTTTACCAACACGGACCACTTAGGCCAGCTGTTGTGGTGTTTTAATCTATTTTGACGATGTCATACTTCTCACTGTATCACGTCAAGAGCCACAACAGGAACATATATTTGATAATCTTTAGAAGTCAAAGGGTGACTTTAATGGAAGGAATTTCATTACTGGGGACCAGAAGTTTGAACATCACTTTATTTGGGGTTGGACTAGGGGAGAGGTCAATGCCACATTTTTTCATCCAGAAAGGAAGATTTTGGAACATAGAAAGTAGATTACTTGGCTCAGCATGTCACGTGATGAGGTGTGTCACGGTTGAAGCAGTAGGTTAATGTGGGGTTGAGAAGAGTGCTGAAGCTAAGCCAAGGAATTGAAACTTCTTGAATTCGGACATTTACTGAGGGAGTTTGGCAACAGAGGCTCGCGCAGGGGAAAGGACTGTAACCAACAACCACAATCCCTTACGGTAACTGCTATCGTGGAAGTATTTTCTAAACCCCACGTTAACACCGGAAGAGGAACACCCAAGTTTGCCCACGGGGATCAGGGAAAGCTCAGCCGGGACGCCGGGCCGGGGCGTGGGGCGGCCCCGCGGAGCGCCCGGGGGAGGGCCGCTCAGGCCCCAGCTGCCTCGGCGGAGGCGGGCGGAGCCACCCCGCG